TTTTTTAGTTACATTTTTTCTTTTTTGCAAAATAATTAGTACAAATCAAATATGTGTATAACGCGTATATATATACTATATATATATATATATATATATACATTTTTTTTTTAATATATATTCACGATAAATCTCCTTCACCCTTTAGTTAGTTATCCAATCCATGACCTTTTTCATTCTAATAACACTCCATGACCTTTACTTGCGATTTATTTGCAGAATAGCGACGAAATAGCGAAAAAAAAATCAGTTCGCAAATTTATATATTTTTTGAATTCATTCAATGAGAGATCAAAATGAATACATATCAGAAATCGAAATACTATAAAACTTATTGAATGGAAAAAACAAACAATAAAATATTATTTGTGAATAATTGTAAAAGTGTTAAGCGATAATGCATACAATGAATTTATGAAAGGTCAACTTATGCATAGGTCATCAGCTAATGTTGACCTCGACATCCTTCATAAACATTATAATTAGCAAATATTTTTCATTGTAAATTGATACACTGTAATATCAGTTCTATATGTATAGTTATTATGAAGTGATCAATTTAAAATGATATTTATCATTCCGATTATTATCATGATCAGCAAGGATTATATGATTGATTGATTGCTACCCGTTATTGTAATTTATAATATATTAATTTTTAATCAATCCTTTCATTTATTGCTGAAAATTAAAACAATTGAATTACTGCTAGTTAATTAATTAATTAGTATTTATTTTCTCAATAATTGTAAAATATTAAAATATTGTCAATTCTGATCTGTGTAAAAAAAAAAAAATGAACGAGGAAATGTTTTATTAGAGCAAAATGTTTATTTGGGAGAAAAAAAAAATGTAACATTTTTGGCATTTAATGCCAAAAAAAAAAAACTTAAACGTTATGACAAATGATGAAAGCCTGGTTTATTTGATGAAATATGAAAGAATTAATTAATGAATTTGATTGATTGATTTAACAGTCAATCGATATATGTATATATGTATATAACAAAACAACATTGTTAAAGTATAAGATATTTTTACGGTAGAATTATATATAGGCATGCGGCCAGTAATGGCTATTACTTATAGCAATTAATTCATTAACTAATTGGCAGCTGGATAATACTTTAAAATAATGTGGAAAAAAAAAAAAACTGGCGACTTGATGGGGTTTCCAATTAATGACATCTGAGGCACATGTACACTTCCGAGTAAACACATACACAGACATGGACACACGCACACACACATATACACATCCACATCCGTGCGTATACACGCATAAATTCCCTCTTCCACCTCATCAAATTTGCTAATTAATTTCTTTCTTTTGGAAAAAAAAAATTCCAAATACTTCAACAAAATACCATAAACTCCAGGAAAATTTTTACAAATTCTCGAAATCCTGATAATTATTTATGCTATAACCTGAAATAAATGTGACAATAAAAATGACAGTGATTTGTTTTTGGCTTTCCTTCCTTTTTTCTTTTTTTCTTTCTTTCCTTTCTTTTTTCCTTTTCCTTTTTCTTTTTTTTCTTTTTTTTAACTGATAATTATAATGAACAAATGATAATGAAACGATAAGGTTAAATCACCCGCGATTGTTGATTCAAAATAGTTTATGATGTAAATTTTTTTCTTTTTTTTAAAAAAAGTGATACCTTTGAAAAAAGTGCAAAAATAAAGAAAACCAAATAATTAAATGAGACCAAAAAAATAAAGAAACCAAATAATTAAATGAGACAAAAAAA